TACATACATACACGCATAAAGTCTTAAGTATTTAGATTTTAGATTGGAGAATTTCAAAATCAAATAACCCTTTAAATTGTAATGTTAATATCTATTTAAAGAACAAATAAACAAATATATAATTGAAAATTAAAAACAAATATAGTTTCAATATCTGTAACGGTTCCAGCTTAGTTCTAATTAGTTAATTTCTAGTTGACTTGTAGTTCAGTTATAGTTAAGTTCTAGTTCAGTTATAGTTAAGTTCTAGTTCAGTTCTAGTTCAATTCTAGTTCAGTTCTAGTTCAGTTCTAGTTCAGTTCTAATTTAGTTCTATTTCAGTTCTATTTCAGTTCTAGTTCAGTTCTAGTTCAGTTCTAGTTTAGTCTAGTTCAGTTCTAGTTCAGTTCTAGTTCAGTTCTAGTTCAGTTCTAGTTCAGTTCTAGTTCAGTTCTAGTTCAGTTCTATTCAGTTCTAGTTCAGTTCTAGTTCAGTTCTAGTTCAGTTGTAGTTCAGTTCTAGTTCAGTTCTAGTTCAGTTCTAGTTCAGTTCTAGTTCAGTTCTAGTTCAGTTCTAGTTCAGTTCTAGTTCAGTTCTAGTTCAGTTCTAGTTCAGTTCTAGTTCAGTTCTAGTTCAGTTCTAGTTCAGTTCTAGTTCAGTTCTAGTTTAGTTCTATTTCAGTTCTATTTCATTTCTAGTTCAGTTCTAGTTCAGTTCTAGTTCAGTTCTAGTTCAGTTCTAGTTTAGTTCTAGTTTAGTTCTAGTTTAGTTCTAGTTTAGTTCTAGTTCAGTTCTAGTTTAGTTCTAGTTAGTTCTAGTTCAGTTCTAGTTCAGTTCTAGTACAGTTCTAGTTCAGTTCTAGTTCAATTCTAGTTCAATTCTAGTTCAGTTCTAGTTCAGTTCTAGTTCATTTCTAGTTTAGTTCAGTCTAGTTTAGTTCAGTTCTAGTTCACTTCTAGTTCAGTTCTAGTTCACTTCTAGTTCAGTTCTAGTTCAGTTCTAGTTCAGTTCTAGTTCAGTTCTAGTTCAGGTTCTAGTTCAGTTCTAGTTCAGTTCTAGTTCAGTTCTAGTTCAGTTCTAGTTCAGTTGTAGTTCAGTTCTAGTTCAGTTCTAGTTCAGTTTAGTTTAGTTCTATTTCAGTTCTAGTTCAGTTCTAGTTCAGTCTAGTTCAGTTCTAGTTCAGTTCTAGTTTAGTTCTAGTTCAGTTCTAGTTTAGTTCTAGTTCAGTTCTAGTTCAGTTCTAGTTCAGTTCTAGTTCAGTTCTAGTTCAGTTCTAGTTCAGTTCTAGTTCAGTTCTAGTTCAGTTCTAGTTTTAGTTTAGTTCAGTTCTAGTTTAGTTCAGTTCTAGTTTAGTTTAGTTTCAGTTCTAGTTTAGTTCAGTTCTAGTTCAGTTCTAGTTCAGTTCTAGTTCAGGTTACTAGTTTCAGTTCTAGTTCAGTTCTAGTTCAGTTCTAGTTCAGTTCTAGTTCAGTTCTAGTTCAGTTCAAGTTCAGTTCTAGTTCAGTTCTAGTTCAGTTCTAGTTCAGTTCTAGTTCAGTTCTAGTTTCAGTTCTAGTTCAGTTCTAGTTCAGTTCTAGTTCAGTTCTAGTTCAGTTCTAGTTCAGTATCTAGTTTCAGTTCTAGTTCAGTTCTAGTTCATTTCTAGTTCAGTTCTAGTTCAGTTCTAGTTCAGTTCTAGTTCAGTTCTAGTTCAGTTCTAGTTCAGTTTTTCTAGTTCAGTTCTAGTTCAGTTCTAGTTCAGTTCTAGTTCAGTTCTAGTTCAGTTCTTCAGTTCAGTTTCTAGTTCAGTTCTAGTTCAGTTCTAGTTCATTTCTAGTTCAGTTCTAGTTCAGTTCTAGTTCAGTTCTAGTTCAGTTCTAGTTCAGTTCTAGTTCAGTTCTAGTTCAGATCTAGTTCAGTTCTAGTCAGTTCTAGTTCAGTCTAGTTCAGTTCTAGTTCAGTTCTAGTTCAGTCTAGTTTAGTTCTAGTTCAGTTCTAGTTCAGTTCTAGTTTAGTTTAGTTCAGTTCTAGTTTAGTTCAGTTCTAGTTTAGTTCAGTTCTAGTTCAGTTCTAGTTCAGTTCTAGTTCAGTTCTAGTTCAGTTCTAGTTCAGTTCTAGTTCAGTTCTAGTTCAGTTCTAGTTCAGTTCTAGTTCAGTTCTAGTTCAGTTCTAGTTCAGTTCTAGTTCTAGTTCAGTTCTAGTTTAGTTCTAGTTCAGTTCTAGTTCAGGTCTAGTTCAGTTCTAGTTCAGTTCTAGTTAATTCTAGTTCTAGTTCAGTCCTCGTTCATCTCTTGATCAGATCTAGTTCAGTTCTAGTTCAGTTCCAGTTCACTTATAGTCCAGTTCAAGTTCAGGTCTAGTTTATTTCTAGTTCATCTCTAGTTTATTTCTAATTAAGTTCTATTTTAGATCAATTTTTCAATATTTTAAATAACTTTTTTTAATTTTAATTTACAAATCATACGTTAAATCTTTTTTAACATAAAAGAACCGTTAACTAATAAATCAAGTACTCAAGTAACAATAAACCCAATAACGACTACTTTAAAAGCCACATTGCCAAATTACTCCTTTTTGGCACATCACTATAAAAACCCCCTTTCAAACTAAAAGTAATCACTCGTTACTTGTCAAAAAAACGCCATTTTAAGAATTTTCTGAGAAAGTGAAGAAGTGTTTTCTGTCCTGTTCGTGACGGGTTAACGTGAATAATAATTTAACATAAAAATTACCAATAATTTAAACAAATAAAACGTTTTTACGTTACCAACAACAACAACCAATACGGAAACGTCTAAACGATTAATAAAATATAAAACAGAAAAGCAAGAAATTAGAAAATTGCATTCCAAGCCAACAACACATACAAAAGAAAAAATCAGAAGTAAAAAAGTAAGAAAATTGAGAAGAAGAAGATTCAGCGAATAAAAAAAGTAATTCTCATTGGATTTTTGCTTTTTATTACACTCACGCACCAGTAGCAAGTAAAAGACCAACAAACAGTGTGAATTGCAACAAACTCTCGTGTTAAGTAGTGCGAAAAAAAGAGATAACTATAGAGTGTTTACTAAGAGAACATATAGAGAATAGTTGAATTGCAAAAAATAGAAAAAAAAGAAATTTGAATTGTTTTTTTTAATATTACTGAATATATTTCTTTTTTCTTCTTTAAAAGAAAACTTTAGTTTTCTCTATAATAAAACATAGAAAAGAAAAAAACAATAATATATAAAAAAATATTATTGTGCATGTTGAGTGTGAAAAATTTTGCAAAAGGAAAAGTTTGCTATTACGTCCATTACAACAAAAAGATCAACGAACTTCCGAAAGTAAGAAAGATAAAGTAAAGGAAAACGAATAAAGAGGAGTTGAAGGAAAAGAGGTAAGTTTATTGTGTATTAAAATATTTTATTATTGTAATAATTAGGACATAGGATACTTTTTAGTGTTATTATTTTGTAAATATACAAGTTTTAATTAAAATTGTTTGATTTTTTGCTGCGGCCGGTGTTTTTTTGTGTGCATTTTATGCATTCAATAAAATGAGGGGCTGCCAGATATAATGTTTTTTATTGAAAGCTGCCAGACATTTTGTTATTGTTTATATTGGTATACGTTGCAGGGAAGGGCTTTTAAGGAAAGAATTATTTAAAGTTTGCCGAAATTGTTCAGGAACTTGTTAAAATCCTGATCCTTTTCTGTTATAAAAATATGTAATTCTCAAAAATAAATTAAAAAAAATATATATTATATTTTTCAAATGTAATTATAGAGCTCTATTAATAATTATTCGACATTGATTATCAATAGAAAGGTTTCTTTGTTACCTTACGATTGTATATACAATATGATCCATATCATTAACACATTTAGAGCCAGTGTCTTTTTTGCTTTCTATTATTTACAAAAGCCAGATAATTTAAAATATATCGATATACCTAAGGGCATTAATATCAAATGAAATTAAAATGAAATACATTTTACACTTGATTTACTTATGTTTGAGAGTTTTATCTCGTGTAGATTGCAGAAGTCATGCAAGTTTAAAAATTAATAGTTTCTAAAATATTTTATCAAATGCAATTGTACAGCTGGGTTACTAATTATTCGATATGGGTATCAACGGAAAGGACTTTGAAGAACCACGGAAATTTTTTTTATCATATATTTATACATATATAAATTTGAAAGTTTAACTACCTTATGCAAAAACGATTATTAAAGTTAACAATGGTTTACCACATACTTTTTCCATATAAAAGCCGATTTTAACAACCATTAAAAAAGTAAAAATATATATTATCCTAAAGTTAGATTATTATTGTATATATTGTTATATAAAAATCAAAAGACCCTAAATTACAAAAAAATCAAAATCTACTTTTTGATTGATTATGATTCACCGTATCATGTTCCTGCGAAATTTTAAACACTTACCATTAAAATAAATGCCCCAATAATAATATTTGTATTTAGAAGAAAAAGAATTATCGTGTGGTTGGTATTTTATTTTTTTATAATAGATGGATTAGAACGCATGATAAGTTCCCAACTTTGACTGATATTAATCAAAGAGAGACATGGGTAGTTGCATTGGAATGATTTAGCCAATATCTAAAATCTATAAGCTCTATATATCCGATATTGCTTCCTAATTGGGGGCAACTTCAGTTGACACAGATGACGTTGGGTTAACAATCGATGCAAAATCAGAGCGATCCCGATCGGAATGTAATATCTTAGCTATAATTATTATTTGAGGCTAATCTTTTCAATTTAAAAAAAAATATATACAAGTTTTTAAAATTATTCGGAATTCCGCTATTTTTGTAAAGTATCCTTAAAGATTTTGGTAGAGTGATAAAACTTTTAAAGAATTTCATTATAATACTAATGATTATAGGTGAATTATTGACGTTCAAGTTATTTTATGAAGTCGATGTATAAATTAGACCCGATTATAACCAAAATCGGTAGTAACACTTAGACTTATATAGAGCTAAGTTGTACAAGTTTTGTAGAGATACTAGCACATTTAATATAAGTTCTTGTTTATGGTAACAGTTTTATGAGTACTAAATGAAATAATGAACAGATTTCAATTACTTTTAGTAGGCTTCAACATTCTGTCGACTTTTCAAGTCTTTTTATGAAGGGGAATTTGTATGCGGACTAGAATCAAGTAACGCCCGATTATTACTAATATTGACAGTAACATTTAGACTTATATAAAACTATGTTGAGTTTTGTAGAGATACATGAACATTTAACATAATTATGAGCTCTAAAGTCTTCTTCGGGGCTAGTTGAAATAACGAACGTATTTCAACCACTATTAAATTAAAAGGCTTTAACCTTGCATCAATTAAGAGTATGTGCCAATTTTCATAAATTTTGAAAATTGCGAATTTTAGAGTGCGCAAAAGATAGTTTCACATGGACACACCGACTTCCGTCTTAATCGATTAAGAATGTGAATGAGATATTAACAATATTTCTTAGTATGTAATTCTGAACCATTTGGTATACTTTAAATTGGGTGTAGGACAAAAATATTTGGTTATTACAAACATTACTCCAAACGCATAATACTCTATAATATAGGGTGGCAAAATGTATAAAAATTGCACACCATTCAATTTGGAATAGACTGAATAAACGTTTTGGTTTATAACAATCCAAATACTGTTGAGGTTTTAAAGTTAAATTGAAGAACATTTGGAAATTTTAAGGGCATTTCTACTCAAAATTACAAACCAACATCTGGCATCACTATTGTACTTATTACTGTTATTGTTAATTTATTATAAAACGCTAAAATTTAATAAAATGTTTAAATTTCTTTGTTTTTTCATCTACAAAAAGAAAACATTCAATCTATTTTTAATTACGAATTGATTATTATTCCCTTAAATTTCCCTTATTATTACTTTGCTTTTTTTTTGTTATTTTTCTCACTGTTTCCCTTCAATCAACACCATCACGTATACAAGTTTGTTTTCTATAGTCTTATTACTCCCCCTCACTGTCATTAATGTTTTGTTATTATGTGTGTCATTGTACGTTAAAGGAGCAACGCTATATATATTAACTTAACGAATCATATCAAAAGTAACGAGTACGAGAAAACAAAAAACTGAAAACTGAACACAACTATTGACGAATGAACATCAACGACGAAATTTACCGACAACTAACGAATGTTTCTTTCACAGAGATATTTTACAAAACCGAAAAAAAGGCGAGTGTGTGCAGCAGCAAAAAATCGTGTTGGTGAATAATTTTTTACAAAATAACACTGAAAATTAATTAAAAAAATTTGAAATTTTACAAAAATCCTTTAAATTAAACGTGTTTCTAAAGCTGTTCGTAACGTGTGAGTGTGTGCAAAACGAAATAACTGCAAAAATTGAGTTTGAAAATTAAGTCCCAAAAAAAATTGTGAATGTTGCAAACAAGAAAATTTTTTTTTGCGCAAGAAAAAAATAGTTGAAACGTTAATATAAGAAAAAAATTATAAAAAGTTTAATCGAAAAGTGTTACGGGACCTTAAATACTAAAGTTTAGCATTAAAAAAACGTTTATAAAACATTTACTAGCAATTTTTTGTGTGGATTTATTTGAACAATAATTAAAATAAAAACTGCATCAAAAACATTTTCATTGTGTTGGGAAGAAAAAAAATATTCGTTTTAACCAGAAAAGCAGCAGAAAAAACGTATTCGTTGTTTTTACAACGAGAAAGTGAAAAACTAACAAAAAAGCAGTAAGAAGGAAAGAAAAAAAGTAGCAAATAGAAAGAAACGCATCCCTTGGAGCCGCAACCCATTCACAAAGTGAAAAATTAAACAAAATAAAAGATTGTGTTAAAGAAAAACAAACAAAACACGGCAAAGAGTTGAAAGGGTAAATAAAAATATTAGTTTTGTTTTATTTTTTAAATATAAATCAAATATATTTCTATTTTTTGTTAAGACGCCACCACAATTGGTGTTTTTTTATCTATGGTTTCGTTAAGTTTTTGCTAGTTTTCCTGGTTTCTCTTTTGTTTTAACTTTTTACATCAAATTTTTTGTTTTCATTCATTACTTTATTTTGCATTCAATTTTGTATACATGTTTCTGTTATTCTAACACTAGTTATCTCTTTCTAACACATTGCTGTGCTAGTGGTGGCAAAATGTTTGTTTTTTATAGCGAGTAAATGATGGTATTGCCAGATTATTATCATAGGTGAAATAAAGGAAAATTTAAGCAATTGCCAAAATAATTAAAAATTTTGTTTATTTTTTATATTTTAAAGTTTTTTTATTGAAAAAATATATATTTTAATATTTTTATTAAGAGTTAAATTTATAAAATAAATATTTGTAAAAAATAACATGAAGTTATATATATAATTTTGAAAAAAATTCTTAAAAAGTTTTTTATATTGTAGGATTTATGTTAAAATTTTTATTTAAAATACATGATTGTTTCCCTCAGGTTTTGAAAACTGCTGGTGATTTGTCTATTAAATAAATTTATGAATTTGAGATTTTCGTAAAATGTTTGAACATTAAATGATAATTGTTATTATTTTAATTATAACTTATAACTTTCTAATTGTTTTATAGCGGGCTCCCCTAGATGACGTATTTTTTGTCGATATATTTTGATAAGGGTAGTTAAACAAACATCTGTAAAATGGATTATTCATGAACAACATAAATAGCTACCAGAAATTTGTTTTAATACAGCTTTTTAAATTAGGAAAGTCCAAAATGATTCAGAGTCTTTTTTTGAATTGGAAGTCAAACTTATTAAGTTTTATTTTATTTATAAAACGAGCTTATTTATTCATCAATAAAAGTTATATATTTACACAACATTATTTTTGTTCTAATTTTTCATCTTCAATACTAGTTAGAGGTCTTATTTATCTTCGTAGAATAGTATTTGAACTTGTACTTCTTATTCGAAAATATATTCCTTAGAGATTGGTCAAATCAAATTTGTCCAAATCCTTACAGATTGGTCAAATCAAATTTGTCCAAATCCTTACAGATTTGTTGAATTTCCAACGACATTCTTTTAATTCCTTACTTACTTACTACTTACTTACTTACTTACTTACTTACTTACTTACTTACTTTTACTTACTTACTTACTTACTTACTTACTTACTTCTACTTACTTACTTACTTACTTACTTACTTACTTACTTACTTACTTACTTACTTACTTACTTACTTACTTCTTACTTACTTACTTACACTTACTTACTTACTTACTTACTTACTTACTTACTTACTTACTTACTTACTTACTTACTTACTTACTTACTT